GTCTTATATCAGGGTCGTTTCTCTGTGAAATTTTTGGTATCTGGTGCTTACATGTTTTTTTGTCAGTCTTAGGATTGTGGAATCTTACAGCATAAAAGCAAGCCATTTGGCTTATAATATCTTTGTTGATCTGTTGAAATAGCTGTTTAATTTGGTCCCAAATTCCTGTTTATGCACCATAACCAATCAAATCAGTCCCCTTTGATTTTATCTGCTTGTTTCATAGAAGTTGGAATGGAATATTATTCCGTCACATTTCTAGTACACTTGAAAAATTAACAGAAAATTTTACTGCATCTTCCATCTAGTTCTTTTGCCAATTATTTTGAACTCACCCTGGTGAAACATGATTTAAGTACTTTAATACAAAATTCAGTGTGAAGTAGTCCTTTCCTTCTTATTCTGTAAATTTAGGAGATCCATGTTTACCAACCTGCTGTAATTATTTGCATACTGAAATATTCATAATTGTGCAATCACTTTATTACTTTAGACTTTATTTTTATTTTAATGATTGTGTATAACTACATTGTGAATTACAATTGCTTTTTTTAATTGTATAATCATCATAAATCAGCACCCAGCTGACTTTATTAATGGAAAAGTCAGATCCCAGACAGGAACCTAGTTTGTTCGATCATGACTTTATTTGTTTTGGTTTTAATGAAGTGGTCTCTTGCTGAAACATCAGCACACGATGCAGTGGATTTTGTTTCAAAGTCAAAACTGAAGCTTTTTACAAAAGGAACAAAGATAAAAGGGAACGATCCAAACCGACTATGTTTAATACAAGTTCAAAGGTTCTGAACACATTGTAAAAGCAAAATCCCATTATTTCCAAAATACTCCCCTATAAATTGAAAAGAAACAAATGGCTGTTATATAGTTCACAAAACACCCCTTGTACTGTGCTCATGGCAGTGTCCCTGAATCTGTGCTGAAAACAAAAATGCTGGAAATCACAATGGATCAGGCAGCATCCGTGGAGAGACAGCAAGCTAATGCTTCGGGTCTAGATGACTTTTCTTCAGAGCTAATGTGCTCCTACAGCGTCCCTGAATCTAACACCTCCATAGGTTATGTCACCTGGGACTTCAATTTTTAACCTGAAACTGCGATAGTTTCTTCCTGGAGCTAGCATACACTTCAGCGTCACTGCATTTGGCTGAAACAACCATACCTGGAGCTTTATCTGCTCTGGAACCAACACCAACTCTTCACTAAGGACCTAACCTAAGGGGAGGAGATAGATTTAATGATATTAACGCTAGCTTATTAATTAAAAGACCCATGTAATGCCCAGGTCCAAATCCCATCATGACAGCAGGTGGAAATTGAATTCAATAAAAATCTCAAAATTTCATGGTGACAATGATTGTTGGGAAAACCCATTTGGAAATCTGCCATCTTTATCTGGTCTGGCCTACATGTGCCTCCAAAGCCACTGCGATGTAATTGACTCTTACCTGCCCTCTGGGCAATTGGGGATGGGCAGAAAATGTTGGCCCAGCCAGCAAAGCCCATATCCTCTGAATGAATTTTAAATAACTATATCTATAGAGTGAGAGGAGGTAGGTTTAAAACTGAGATGAGGAGAAACTATTGCTCTCAGACGGTCGTGAATCTGTGGAACTCAATGCCTAGAGTGCAGTGGAGGCAGAATCAATCAACAGATTCAAGAAAGAAATAGATATGTTTCTGATGAGAAGTGGGATAAAGGGCTATGGGGAGCAGGCAGGAGACTGGAGTTGAGACCAGGATAAGACCAGCCATGATCATGATAAATGGTGGAGCGGGTTCGAAGGGCTGAATTACCTCCTCCTGCTCCTAATCCCTATGTCTCTATGGTATGTTCCTATTTGTGGCCAATCCTTACTTACCCTTGAACTGAGTAGGGCCATGTCAGTGGGCATTTAAAGTTAACCTCATTACTGTGGGTCTGGAATCACATGCAGGCCAGACCAGGTAAGGATGGCAGATTTTCTTTTGTAAAAGATTTCAGTGAACAGATTTTTACAACAACTAATGGTAGTTATCCTGGTCACCATCACTGAGACTAGCCGTTAATTCCAGAATCATTAATTGAATTCCATAAGCTGCTTCCCTAGTCGGATTTAAGCCATGTCTGTGTGGGAAAATGGGAAGTTGAACAGAAGAGCTAAATACTTTTTAAATAGGGAAAGACTACAGAAATGTGCAGTTAGAGGGATTTGGGGGTCCGAGTGCATGAATCATAACACTGAGCGGGTATCAGGGAAGGTTCATCAAATATTGGGTCTTTATTTCAAAGGGAATGGATTATTAAAGTAGACATTTTGCTAAAAGTATACAAAGTACTAGTCAGAACACAGAGAAGGTTCACTTGGGTTGATTCTAGATATGAAGGCAATTTTTTTGGGAGGAGAGGCTGGGTGGATTGGGACTGTACTCATTGGATTTTAGGAAAATAACAGGAGACCTTGATGAAATATATAAGGTTCTTTCGGGGGTTTACAGAGTGGTAGAAAGGTTATTTCTCATTGTGGGAGAGTCTGGGACCAGAGGGCATAATCTCAGAGTGAAAAAAATCACCTATTTAAGAGATGAGGGGGCATTTCTTATCTCAGGGGGCAGTGAATCTGTGGAATTCTTTACCACAGAGGGCTATCAAGGCTGGGTCATAAAGTACATTCAAGATTGAGATAGACAGATTTTTAATCAGTAAGGGAATTGTGGGGTATGGGGAAAAGGCAGAAAAGTGGAGCTGAGGATTATTAGATCTCGTTGAAGGGCAGAGTAGACTCAATTGCCTGAATGGCCTACTTCCGCTCTTACGTCTTATGGTCTTGTGTTAACGATAGCAGTTGCATGGTCTGCATTTGGCATCAGGATTTTCCAGATCTGATTGGATGTATTCCTGGAGATTTGATTGTGTCGCCAACCGCCCCAGCCCAATGGATGTACAATAGATGCATTATCACAGCTAGCCCCTCCCATAAAACAATGGGCGAGCAAAAAGACTCCCCACTACATAATTGGAAGCCATCAGTCAAATGGCCCTTCTCTCTAACTACTCTCCAAGATTTTTAACACTCACAAACTGAGGAGCTCAAAAATGTAAGCTCTTTTTTTTTAAAAAATTGATTCTTTTAAAACTTTCCTGGAATGGTCACAGCATCTACAGTCCACTTGGGTCATTGTGTCTATTTTGGTTCTCTGCAGCAGCACCTCACCTGTTCCCAATTGCCTGCTGTACTCCCTTGCAAATCCTTCCACAGCAGATAATTTATCCAATTCTCCTTTGAAGGCCTTGATTGAACCTGCCTCTACCATATTGTCAGACATTGTATTCCAGATCCCAGTTGCTCACTGCAAAATAAGATTCTTCTTCATGTCGCTGTTGCTTCTTTTGCCAATTACCTTAAACTCTTGCTCTCTGGCTCTTGAATCTTTTGCCAACAGGAACATTTTTACCCCCTCTATTTACGCGGTCCAAAACCCTCATGGTTTTGAGCACCCCTCGCTAAATCTCCTCTATCATCTAAGAAGGACATCAATCTTGGTAATCCAAATGGGAAGTCTGTCATCCCTGAAACCATCCTTGTGGACCTTCTCTGAACCCTCTCTAATGCCTTGCCATTCTCAGTGTCTAGACTTGGATACAATCCTCCAGTTGACATTGAACCAGCGAGTTATAATGGTTCACTATAACACCCTTGCTGTTGAAACCTTCCTGCATCATTAGCTTTATCCATTCACTGATTTGAGTAGCCCTGGGTACTGTGTTCCATTATTACACAGAGTACACAAAGCCCCTCCTCTATGACCTGGAGTGGCTGCTCCTCAATTTTGGGTTGCACCTCAGTCCCATGCTTCATCCACTCGAGGTGAAGGGATGGACAGGAGGACTTCCTTGTAGTGTTGGTCCACGGTCTGGCCAAGGTGATCATTAACAGGTCTAGGCAGTGGGCAATTGAGTGGGCTTGTTCCACCTAAATACCTGCCTCTATTCTCTATCCTTGGAGAGGGAGCACACAGTGCCTACATCCTCCTGTGACTGGTGGGTACCACAGGAGCTGGAGTGTATGAGCGTCGCACAAAATGACGTCCCGGTGGCTCAGTGGTGGGCACTGCTGCCTCATGGTGCCAGGGACCTGGGTTCAATTCCAGTCTCGGGTAACTGTCTGTGTGGAGTTTGCACATTCCCTCCGAGCCTGCACGGGCTTCCTCTGGGTGCTCTGGTTTCCTCCCACAGATATGCAGGTTAGGATTGGCTGTGCTAAATTGTACAGGCTAGGTGGATTAGCTGTGACAAATACAGGGATAGGGTGGGGACAGTAGGCCTGGATGGGCTGCTCTTCAGATGGTTGGTGTGAACTCGATGGGCCAAATGGCCTGCTTCAACACAGTAGGAATTCTATGAAATCACATTTTAACTCCAGTTTCTTTCAGAGTTTTTGTTTTGGCTACAGTGGCTTTTTAAATGACCCTTTCTCATGGGACACTTCATTGGTTTATTAACAGATATACCCCCAGGTCTCTCTGCTCCTGCAACCCTTTATGTTAAATTGTATCCTTTATGTTGTCTCTCCTCATTCTCGCTAACAAATTGTAACAGTCCAGACTTCTCTGCATTAAACGAATCTCTCACCATAATGCCTGACTGTCCCATAGTGCTTTCTTCTTGAGTTTTATCACAATCCTGCTCATAGTTCACAATATTTCCAAGTTTTATGTGCTCAGCAAATTTGAAGTTGTATCCTGCACGCCTATTTAGGTTATTAATGTAGGACAAGAAAAGCAGTCCCCTCAGGGGACCACATTATATAACCTCCTCCAGAACCGTCAGCGATACTCTCTACTTTCTGTTCTTCAGTCAACTTTATCTCCAAGCTCCCTTTCATTCCACAAGCTAGCAAAAAATTCAATCACATCAATTAAAACATGGTTTGCCTTTAACAAATCCACAACAGCTCTCCTTAATTAATGCCAGGATTATTTATTCTGGGAATATTTATTCCCTTGCTTCTTCCTGCACCGCATGTGCCACAGGACATTATTCTCCCAACCCCGCCGACTCCCAGATGATCCTGGCAGCCCAACATTGGGAGTTTGTGCAGAGCTGAGGGTAACCTCATTACAAACATTGGAACAAGTCTTTCTAGAGTAACCATGGCAACAATCCGCCCACCCATCATGAAGTCCTGTGGGCCGGCAAGGCAATTGACATTTATGGAAAAAAAAACCAATCAAACCTTGTTTTTGTCTTGTTCTCTTCAATAAAACAAAGCTTAGGAGAATGATCAGAATGAAAAGCAATTCCCAAGGTTTTCCTTTCCCCTTTAATTATTTGATGAAAGGGGCCTTTGTGGCCCTGAGAGTTTACGGAAGCATCTGTCACACCAGCTGTTTGTTGGACCTTGAGAGTTTAGCACTCACGGAAGTAACCAGCCCTTTATCTGCACGCAGCTGATTATATGTCACATCTCTCTGATGTTTTCCACATCAAAACGAGCTGTAATTAACAAGGGAGGCTGGAAAGATTCATATACATCAGTCCAATATCAATTAAAAAAACCAAAAATGAAGTCCCAAGTCCCCAGGGATTTGAATGTCAAGCTGTTCTAAAAACCCAGCAGACTGAGAGCCAGCCTGTCCATTCATGTCACATGCAACTATCCACTCATTCTGCTCGTTTGATCTGTGTTCAGTTTCTAATCACTGCACTCCCTTGATCAGATGGACCAATGGGCTGAGGAGTGGCAGATGGAGTTTAATTTAGATAAATGTGAGGCGTTGCAGTTAGTAAGACAAGCAAAAGTAGGATTTACAGTTAATAACAGGGCATTAAAGGGAGTGATGTTGAACAAAGAGACCTAGGGGTGCAGGTGCATAGTTCCTTGACAGTCGAGTCACAGATAGACAGGGTGGTGAAGAAGGCGTTTGGCACGCTTGCCTTCATTGGTCAGAACATTGAGTTGGGACATCATGTTGTGGCTGTACAGGACATTGGTGAGGCCACTTTTATAATGCTGTGTTCAATTCTGGACTCCCTGCTGTATGAAAGAAGTTAAACTTGAAAGAGTTCAGAAAAAAATTGCTGGGACTGGGGAGGATTTGAGTTATGGGAGAGGCTGAATAGGCTGGGGTTTTTTTCTCTCAAACGTTGGGGGCTGAGGGGTGACCTTACATAGGTTTATAAAATCATGTGGAGCATGGATAGGGTGAATAGTCAAGGTCTTTTCCCCAGGGTAGGGGAGTCCAAAACTAGAAGGGATAGGTTTAAGGTGAGAGGGGAAAGATTTAAAAAGTACCTGAGGGGTAACTTTTTCACAGAGAGGGTGGTGCATGTATGGAACAAACTGCCAAAGAGGCGGTGGAGGCTGGTACAATTACAACTTTTAAAAGGCATCTGGATGGGTACATGAATAGGAAGGGTTCAGAAGGATATGGGCCAAATATCGGCAAATGGGAGGATATCTGGTCAGTGCAGATCAGTTGGACTAAAGGGTCTATATCCGTGGTGTATAAATCTATGACATTTCATTTCTCCCTTCTTTTTTTAATCACCCAATCTTCTAACACAGCAGGAGGCCATTTGGCCCATCATGTCTGTGATGACTCTTGGAAAAAGTGACTACATTCCTGCTCTTTCAATGAACCTTGCAAAATCTTTTTCCCAAGTATGCACCAAATTCCATTTTGCAACTTGAATCCTCTTTCACTGTCCTTTGAGGCAGTGCACCTTTGATCGCAACAATGCACGGTCTAAAAGATTTCTTGCCAACCACCTTAAAACTGATTACAATGGAAACAGTTTCTGCTTAATTACTTTATTGAGACCCTTCATAAATTTAAACATCTGTACTAATTTTCTCATTTTCACTCCAGGTAATGGTTGAGATGAACAGAGAAAGCAATGTAAAGATACGAGAGAGCAAGAAATCGAAGTGTGCTGATTGGGTTAAATGACAAAAGTTGGAAGGATGCTTTTGTAGAACATTCAAATCTCGACAGACCAATTAAAGCTGAATAGCCTGTTAGTGTATTGCAAGTACTGTCGTAACTCAGTGTAATGGTCCTCACCTCTCACAACCAGCATTGCTGATGCCGAAGCACTGTCCACCACTGTCTGGGCAGTGCAGGTGTATATTCCAGAGTGTTTCAGCTGTACATTGGTTATCTTGAGGTCTCCAATGGTTTCCCGCTGTAAGTAAAGAGATAGAGACACTGCAGTGTGCGTAAGTGGTAAAAGTGACTCCTCCCTAATCATTCACACGCTTGCCTTCATTGGTCAGAACATTGAGTTGGGACATCATGTTGTGGCTGTACAGGACATTGGTGAGGCCACTTTTATAATGCTGTGTTCAATTTTCGAGAAGATTTGTAGCTTGGGTTGTGGATGAGGTTGTAGACATGCTCGCTGAGCCGATGGGTTTGGTTGCAAATGTTTCCTCACCCTGCTGGGTAATATTGTCAGTGCGCCTCCGGTGAAGCGTCAGCGTTCTGTCCCGCTTGTTATTTATATGCCTCAGTTTGTTGTAGTGACTACCAGGCACACCAACATATAGACTTGCCTAAGAACTACAGCAGAAATTGAGATACTTTGTGGACAACACCACCGACTCCATCCATCCCTCCCAAGAACTCCTCAACATCATCAAAGTCACCAACGGCATATACAAACAATGGGATCCGCATTATCAGGACTGATTGCAGAAGCAGTAATACAAAGGTTAGAATGGACAGCGCTCCCCACTATACAACCCAACTCTGTGTCCGATATGTAGATGACACCTTCGTTATTATCAAACACACAAAACTAGAAGAAACCCACCAACACATAAACAACATCCTCACTGGGATAAAATTCACAAAAGAAGAGAACAACAACTGACTACCCTTCCTGGATGTAGTGGTAGAACGCAAAAACAACGGGGACCTCCAGTATATAGAAAGACCACACATACGGACCAGATACTCAATTACATCAGCAACTGCCTCAATGCCCTCAAATGGAGCTGCATCAGGACACTATTTAAATGAGCCACAACACATTGCAGCAACCCGGAACTATACAAAGCAGAACAGGAGCGCCCACACGGAGTCTTCAAAAGGATTGGATATCCGAAAAGCACAATCCGCCGTTACCTCCAAGACAGACCACCACAGGAAGACACAACACGACCAGACTCACTAATCACCCTACCATACGTCAAGGACATTTCAGAGATGACCACAAGACTACTCAGACCCCTAGGTATCAGGGTAGCCCACAAACCAACAACGAACCTGCGACAACAAATACAGACAAACATAAAGGATCCCATACACAAAACCAGCAAAACCGGTGTAATATACAAAATACAATGCAAGGGCTGTGAGAAACACTGCATAGGCCAAACTGGGAGAAAACTGACAATACGGATACATGAACACCAACTCGCCACCAAGAGACACGACCGATTCTCACTTATCTCACTACACACAGGCAACGAGGGACACAAATTTGACTGGGACAACACATTCATAATCGCACAAGCCAAACAGAGACACGCCTGGGAATTCCTGGGGGCCTGGTATTCCAACCAGAACTCCATCAACAAACACGTTGAATTAGACCCTGTGTCCAAACCACTGAGAAACAGAACCAGAAGTGGTACCAAACGCCCCAACAAACCGAGGCATATAAATAACAAGCGGGACAGAACACTGACACTTCACCGGAGGCGCACTGACGATGTTACCTAGCGGGGTGATGAAACGTTTGCAACCAAACCCACTGGTTCAGCGAAAATATCTACAACCTGACACCAGTTTCTCCTAGTCACTCCAGTGGAAGGCAACAAGAGCATACTCTTATGGACACACAATTCCAGACAGTCCTTCCTAGGCAGTAATAGCAGACCCTCCCAGGCTCTAATTTTCCATTGCACTCGTCGAAACAACAAACTGAACAAATGCCTTTGATCTGTGTAGCGACTGCATCTTGGTCTTTGTAACGAGTGTACGAACATGAGTTAGAATAACTCACAGCTGTGAAAAGCACTGGCTATTTTATTCTTCCAGACCTGATGCCTTGGGTCATTACCCTGTCATCCCAAAGAGCAGAATCCGTGGGGGGAGAACCTGCCCAAGTTCCTGATCCCTCGTGAGAGAGACAGGCAACAGTATGAATCAGAGTCCCGTGTTCTCTCTGCCAGCCTCCAAAGTACCAGCCTCCATAAGCTACAGCCCAGCCAATACCTGACCTTATAGGTCCTAGTTCACAGTAACTCCTGCTCACCCATCATCCCTGTGATCAATGACGTAGGCTGGCTCCCACTATGGCTGTACATCAACATTAAAAATTCTCTTGGGTTTGTATGTTTATAATTTAAAGTATATAATGTGTGTACGTGTGAATGTGTATTTATAGGGGGGTCTGTTTATACAAGTGAGGAAGGTTTGTGTTGGCCATTCATGATCTATCCCTGCTGTTGTACTCCATGCCCCTATTTGTGAAGCCTAGAATACCGCATGCCTTATTACAATTCTTCCTAATGTCCTTCCCTTTAATTACATATGTACGTACACACCTGGATCTCTCTGCTCCTACACACCCTTTAGAATAATACCTTTTATCTCCGAATGTTCTTCCTTCAAAGGGCATCTGTTCACACTTCTCTGAATTGAACTTTATCTGCCATCCACGAATTTCTGAATATCTTTTTGTTAAAAAACTTTAACGTTGTTCCCCTCACAGTTTGGAATTCCCACAGGTCTGATGTTGTCCACAAGCTTCGAAATTGTCCCTGGCGCACCAAGATCTGGATCGCTTATATCGATGAGGAAAATCAAGTACCGGCCCCCAGTGAACTCCACTGCAAGTCTTTGCCAGGCCCAAAAGAAATACCCATTTACTATTGCATTCCTAACATTATTTTCTATTCCTCAGCATGTTGCTACTGCCCCTTCTACTTTATGAGCTATGACTCTCCTCACAGGCCTGCTGTTTGGCATTGCATCAAGTGCCTTTTGGAAATCCAGGTACACCATATCAACACCTTTACCCTTATGCACTATCTCTTCAAACAACTCCAGAGACCCGGTGTGACTTTTCCTTAACAAAGGATTGTTACTGACTGTTTCGAATCAATTTACATTTTTCCAAATGACTATTAATTCTATCCCAGGAATCATTTCTTGAAGGTATCATGCCATCTAGTGCTACAGTGCAATGAAATATTTGAAAATCTATCTTACTAATGTTCAGTAAGCATTTGTACAAGAGCACTGCACTAACTTAGAATATGCTGTTGCGGAATAAATGATTGACTGGCAAAGTTCTAAATATTTTACTTATCGCTTCATTGTGCACTACGTACATTAACGCTGATGTTCAATAAATATTCATGTTTAGTGATCCAGCTTTTAACAAAGCAATAGTATTTTTGCTGAAATTATATTTCTCGCACATCCAGGCAAACAGACAAAGCACCAACAACAAATCGCATTCCTACAGCTTTCTTAATGCAGCAAGCGTCCCAAGTTGCTTCACACAAGCATTGCCAATTAACATTTGACATTGAACAACATGAGGAGATAGAAGGGCAAGTCATCACAAGCTCGGTCAGAGTTAGGTTTTGAAGGTTGTCTTAAAGAAGTGGAAAAGGGAGTTGGAGAGTTAAGGAGGGAATTCCAGAGTCTAGGCCCTTAGGGCAGCTGAAGGCAAGGCTGCACATGGGGGACTGATTAAAAAGGAGCAAGTACGAGATGCCAGAATCAGAGGTCAGCAGAGTTCGAGGACAGCTGCAGAGTTGGAGGAAGTCGCGCTAATAATGACGAATGAAGCCAGGGAGGAACTTGAAAGCGTACTCACCATTGAAACGCGATGGAAGTGCTCCCCCATGAGGTCAAAGTCCACAGGAGAGTCATTAACCGACCAGGTGAATGTGAGGTCCATGGTGGGATCGTGGCTTGCATGGCACTGCAGCACCACATCTTCGCCGAGGTTGATATCAGCGTTGGATGGAGCGAGAGTAATTTTAGTAGCGTCTGTGAGAATGTGGGAGGAACAGGAGCGTGAGTCAAGAAAGGAAGATGCAAAAGGTACAGAACGGCGACTGAGAGGGAAGTGATCATCAGAACTTGTGTAAACATTCAGAAAGAGAGACGAGATCTTTTGGGGTGTTGTTTAGTGACCAGAAGAAACAGACTGACCTCTGACTGACACAGTGCCTGTGCTGTTTGCCTTCCCTTTGGAATTCTCTGCAAAACAGGTGTATTTTCCTTCATCCATTCGGCTTATGTTCCGAATCCTCAAGGTGCCATTTGCAAATACAGTTGTTCTGTTTGAACAAAACAGAGATTTATGGTAGTAGCACAATTATCAAACACCCTGAAGACCAGACATTTGGTCAAATTATCATTGGGTGCCTCATGGGCTAAGGAGACCCCACAAAGGGAGTTTTCGAGTTGCAGTACCAACTTCTGGCTTCTGTTTGGTGTAGAAAGCTGACACCAGTGTCCCTTTATATTCTTTTAAACTAAATCTATAAACAAGCTAGACAGCCCCTGTTGGGTTAATTTGTAACAGGAACAAAAATCAGGTGGTCATCAGAAACCTATACTGAGTTCTAGAGGCTATCTAAATAGCTGTGTAAACCACTATTGAGTGTTAATGTGGAAAGGCTCTTGCAACATACAAAATAAAAGCAGGAATAGATCATTCAGTCCTTCAAGGCTACTCCGCTACTTAACGTGATCGTGGCTGTTTATCCAACTCAGTACCTAGTTCCTGCTTTCTCCCTGTACACTTTGGTCCCTTTAGACATAAGAAATAGATCTAACTCCTTCTTGAAACGTTCAATGTTTAGACCTCAACTGCTCTCTGTGACAGAGAATTCCACAGGTTCGCCACCCTATGGGTGAAGAAATTTCTTCCCTAAATGGCCTACCCCAGATTCCTTAGTCTGTGACCCCCTGATTCTGGACTCTCTGGTCATTGGGAACATTATTCCTGCATTTACGCTGTCGAGTCCTGATAGAATTTTAAACGTTTCTATGGGAGCCCCCATTATTCTTCTCAACATTCTTGACTCATGTAAAATGTAGTTTATTGCACAGTAGCAAAAGCCACAAGTCACATTGACTGGCAAGGTGTAATCATGAAGACAAATAGATGTCAGAAGTGATACGTTGGTCTCCATAGGGACCTCATGCCAACGGATTCTTTTCCATCCATAGGTTAAATGACATCGTCAGATTGGGTAGACCTTAATGTAACTTCAACATTAACTCTTTCAGAACCATTACTTTAAACAACATAAACTTGTAACGTACTCAGAATCTCTCATACTGTAACCTCTCTCCTGTCCAAAACCCATAACACCACTCCAACCTTAGCCACATGGACTTGGTCCTTGTACCTCAGTGACATGAATTTGAGGTTAGGATTACTGTTTAAAACCCCCGCAGCTTTGTTCCTACTTATCAAAGGGAAGCTTGCCAGTCACACATCCTGTTCAGAAACCCCTCCCTAACCTCCACACACTCATCTCAGTCCCAGCAATGACAGACACTCCATCGTTTGAGCCTCACTGCCTCTGCCCCACTGGAGACAGATCATTGTATTTTCTGTTTCAATCCCTCCGACAAATCACTTCATTTTGTCAGCTCACGCCAACTTGGAAAGGTCATTTAAAAAGTACTTTTGTACCTCCCTGACACCTGAATGTGTACCTTCTGGCTTCTTGCTGGATGTGCGTGTTCTACAAAATCGTTAAACTCTTTGAGACTAGGAATATTTGATCTCTGGCAAATCTGTGTATTTAGACTAATCCAGCATGAATTAGTAATCCAGTGTTCGGAGCTGCAGGTATCAGTTCACATCCCATTCCAGTTGGATAATTTAAACTCAGCCAATCAACTAAATGTTCAGTTAAAAGCTAGCAATGGTAATGGTGACTGTGTAATGACTAGATTACCATGAAAACCTGCCTGACTTTACTCATGATCTCTGGGGAAAAATCACAGCTGTCCTGACCCCGTATGTAGTATAGGGTGCACTGCAACATGGTTCCTCTGAAACGTGTAACACATCACTGGAACTGACACAGAGAGTATTCATTCACACAGACCACTGAGGTTCAAGGAAGTGACTCTCCATTATCAAAGGCTTCCTAGTAAGAGAAATAATTGCTGGCCCAACCAGTGGCCCTCTTTCATAGATGGCCGTGTTCTACTACAGTATTCACTAATAACAGACTGAGTAGAAGAATAAATTCTCAAAACTTCTCAGTGTATGATCACAGAGGCCAATTGGTCCATCATAACCATGCCAGCTCTTTGAATCTACCCCTCTTGCTCTCTCCCCGTCATCCTGCAAATGTTTCCTCTTCATGGGTACAAGTACATCCAGTTCGCTCTTCAAAGTTGTCACTGAATCTGCTTTCTCCGCTCTTGCACAGCGCATTCCAGATTGTTAACTGGGATGCACTTGAAAACAATTTGGAAAAGGAAAAGATTAGGAGGAGTAGGGGAAAATGACAGTAGCTAAGTGAGCAACTTGTTCAAATGGACAGCACAGACCTGGTGGGCTGAGTGGCCTCCTAGAGTTCTGTATGATACCATGGATTGCTCTGACGTCATTTTTCCTCCATTTACTTCATCTGCCTCTGTCCGGCTGTAACTGTTTACTGCATAGTGTGCCTCATGACTTGACAAACTCTGCAATCTCCAATATAAGCTCAATTTCATTTAAACCATTGATATACCTGGTGAAAGCTGAGGACAGAGCTCAAGATCATGGGGAATATCAGCTATCACATTCCACTGGATTGAGGCCATACCCCACCTCTTTACATCACTCAAACAATCACCACAAGTGCAGGTTTCTTCCAATGCTCTCTAATTGTGACGGGATTTTGCACAGAGTCTTTTTTTCCTTTATTCATTAACAGGATGAGGGCATCACTGGCTAGGCCAGCATTTATTGCCCATCCCTAATTGCCCAGAGTCACATGTAGTCCAGACCAGGTAAGGATGGCAGTTTCCTTCCCTAAAGGACATTTGTGAAACGAATGGGTTTTTCCAACAATTGACAATGGATTCACAATCATCATTAGATTCTTAATTCCAGATATTTACTGAATTCAAATTCCATCTTCTGCGATGGCAGGATTCGAACCTGGGTCCCAAGAACATTATCTGGGTTTCTGGATTAACAGTCCAGTGATAATACCACCAGGCCATTGCCTCCCCATTGTCTACACTCTGCACAGGGGCTATGCTCTGCACGGGGGCTATGCCCTACCCTGCACTGGGTCTTGACTCTTCAATTCAATTCAATGGACATCTTCCACAAAGCCTGTTGCCTTGTGGCATGTCTTGCTGATGAGGTTGTTTTTGTCACTGACCTTGTGTTGTTGGAAAGAATCTCGGTCCCTTTAGTCCAGAAGATGTTTGGTTGGGGCGCTGCACGGGGTTTGCACTCAATCAGAACCTCCCCTCCCCTCGCCGCTGGAATTAGCCGCTTTACTGGCTTGGACTGAAAATCTGGAGCCAATTCTGAGAATGAAGACAGGAAATTACTGGAAGGAATAATTCAAAGCAGATCAGATTCTGTCAGAACAAGGTAGACGTCACTCCTACACTCTGTTAGCCACTCACTCTCACATTGTACAGCTTCTACTCCACCATCAGTCAACTGTAGCAGCATTGGACTCAACGGGAATCAGGTTTCAAGTAGGGGGTAAAAACTGAAAGAACTGCGGATGCTGTAAATCAGGAACAAAAACAGTTGCTGGAAAAGCTCAGCAGGTCTGACAGCATCTGTGAAGGAGAAAACAGAGTTAACATTTCGGGTCCGGTGACCCTTCCTCAGAACTGTTCATTAACGTTAACCCTGTTTTCTCCTTCACAGCTGCTACCAGACCTGCTGAGCTTTTCCAGCAACTTTGTTTTTGTTCAAGAAGGGGGTGCAGTTTTATAGGCATTGAGTACGAGGCAAAGTTTGTGAAAGGGAAGGTGCAATGTGCCATGCAAACATGGGTAAATGTCAGGAAGAACATTCAGTGTGTGTGGGAATAATGAGTTTGAGAGTGGTTCATGTGTGGAATGAACTGCCAGACAAAGTGGTGGATGTGGGTGCAGTTATAACATTGAAAAGACACTTGGATAAGCACAGGAATAAGAAATGTTTGGAGGGGATATGTGCCAAGCGCAGGCAGGTAGAACTAGTTTAGTTTGGGTACATGGTTGGCATGGACTGGTTGGTCCGAAGGGTCTGTTTCCATGCTGAATGACTCTATGATTCCAATATTTCCTTGACAGAAATGTGGCTACTTTCTGACCATTGAGCATGCGTTCAATGTTGAGTTTTCAGTTCAGCTCAGAGTGGCAGTAGATGAAGAGGTTATTATTACCAGCAATATTCGACTAACCTTGAACCTTCAACTCTGCGTTGGCATAAATGGTCCCGTGTTTATTCTCGGCAACACACTGGTACATGCCAGAGTCGTCCTTAATGAGTTTCAAAATTCTCAACGCGCAATTGTTGACTACAAAGCGGTTCTGAAAGAGTCAAAGTTAATACCTGAGAGGGTAGTGGGGAACATAATGGATTTAGAAATAGTATTCCTCCCTCCAACTCAATGGGGCCAATACAAATGGCCACATTAGCTTCAGAAGATGAGAAGTCATTCAAGTTTCCCAGTTCCACTGACTGTCTAGGAAGCTCCTTTCGGAAAGGCCATAGGGTTACCTGAATGCTTTGGCATGGAACAGGTGTTGAATGGACCAACTTGGCAATCGGGAATCCCACATCCAATCTGTGCAGGTACCACTACCAAATTCAAAGATATGCCTCAAATTAACCACTGGCCAGTGACCACTCAGTATAAAATATTATTATCTAGTGTTTAGAAATAGTTTTCAAGTAACCCATGGATCATAGCACGAAAGGGAAAAGATTACTGTTGTCCAGTGTTGTTGTGCTCAAATGTTTGGAAGGAGTGGCATGGTGGCTCAGTGGTTAGCACTGCTGCCTCACAGTGCCAGGGAGCAGGGTTCAATTCTCACCCCCAGCTGACTGTCTGTGTGGAGTTTGCACATTCTCCCCATGCCGTGTCTGGCTTCCTCCCACAGTCCCAAGATGTGTAGTTTGGTGAATTGGCCATGCTAAATTGTCCATAATGTGTGGTCTGAATGGGATGCTCATTGGAGGATCAGTGTGGACTCAATGGGTTGTAGCAATTCTATACTGTATTGTGTCTTCTAGCCTCCTTAATTAGTGTCTCTTAGAATTATACAGCAAAGAGCAAGGCTGTTTGAAGGACCTGTGAAATTATATCTATCAACCTCCTCATATCCAACACCATTCTTCCTTCATTGCCTGGTATTTGTTTTCCAGTCATACCTGCTGAGGGGCATCATGGGTAGTCATTGGATAACATTCAATTCTATTGTGATGCCCATAGTTGTCAAATTGCAGATCAACCATTGTGGCGAAGGGTCAGAGATAAAGGAAGGCCAACTGGTTGAACAGCCAATAAGACCCCAAACCTGTACTTGTCCTGTGGTATTGATAAAACAAGATCGATTGTTGAAGCCACCCTTCCTGGAAGATTTTGTCATTGACGACAACTATAATTTAAAATAAATCTTGTTCTTTTTGTGTTAAGAAGAGGAAGACATGATTAGTCACTGTTAAAGTATCATTTGAGAGCTAGGGGCCTTGGTGTGTGTTTATATGCACTTTGAGGAGGTTTTAAAACCCTTGAAATGAAATGGGGCTTAACAGTTCAGTGCGTTGAAAAGAAGGTGGATGAGAGAAAAAAAACTGCTATTGCCTGGTGACTAGGGTCTGGTGACACCAAGAGGCAAAACAATCCAGAAAGTCAATAAATGGGTGTGGGCCAAATCACAGGCTGAAGTGTTGAACTCTTGAGTAAGAATCTGGGGGAAAATTGCTGGAAACTGAGTTTGGGGAATCCGTTTGCTTTGAGGTTAAAGTAATAGTGAGTTTGGCTTTCATTTTGTTTTCGGTAGCTTTGGGAGAGATACTCCAGAGGCCATATCTCGTCACCAAGTCACCCTTTATTTGTATGTGCATTTACTTGACACTGGTCTGGCTTCCTTGGAGGCAGTTGTCAGAGAGAGCAGAGCCTCTGACACTCCTGTTTATACCTGTCAGCCAGGGCTCCCCGATTGGAGCTATTAATCTGGACCAATCAGGGAACTCATACTCTATGTGTCCACCTGGCTGCCCTCATTACAATCACTACAAATACCAGTTGAAGAAAACAGTATCTCACAAATGCACGGAAATTTGTCCAAAGGAGACTGGTTGCAGCTGTACCAGCCCAAATGAGAAACTTTAGTTTGGAAATAATGGTGACGTTTGGGTGATTGTAAGGATATCACTGGAACAAAAGGAATAGTGTGAATTTGAGTCCCTGGTGTTCGTAATGAAGTCTTTCCAATCCTTTTGCCTAGTGTAATATAGTTCATATTATTTTCCCTTGTTCAATAAACGTTTTGTTCTTTGTGTTAAAAGTACATTGGTAGCCTGTGTTCAGTAACATACTGCCACTATTTGAAAAAAAAAGGCAACCTTAGGATCTAACAAGATCTAACCCTCTGAAATCTGTCCAATATTAACATTAGCTGAATCATAACAGTGCGATGAGATCAAAGGTTCCAAACTAATCCATGTGAGGGAGCCAGGACACAGGCTGTGTGCTAAACCATACTGAACCTTGATGATGTGTGGATTAGTTAACCAACATGTAACAGGCTGCAGTCTTTGTGTATATGCTCCTGGTATATGGACTTCCTACCTAACAGTACTTCAGGAATACCTTCGCCACGTTGGCAGTAGCAGTCCTATATGAAACCCCATCATTGCCTTCTCAAGGGCAACTACAGATGAACAATAAATGCCAACCTCCTGCAAATGAATAAATACCTGGAATCCCTACCATGCAGACAGAGGTCATTCAGCCCATCTAGTCTGCACCAGCCCTTTGAACAGCATCCCACCCCTGTAACCTGACATTTAACACGGCCAATCCACCCAAACCTACATGCATTTGGACTGTGGGGGGGAGGAAACTGGGGGAACACCTATGCAGAGAACATGCAAACTCCATACAGATAATCGCCTGAAGCTGGAATCAAACCCAGGTTCCTGGCATTGTAAGGCAGCAGTGCTAACCGCAGGGCCACCATGCCAGTACCTCAAGGTGAGGAGAGGTTAAGATCGGAGATTAAGATATCTAAATGCAGCATGTCTAGAAATCCAACAGTCAATGGAATAAAACTAACTGATCTTACTTCCCTCTCTATCATGACCTTTAAGCACATTTGCCATTCTCCAAACTCTGTATTTGAACGCACAGGAAAACGCGGTTTTATATTTCATTCACACCTTCGAAGTTAGCAGCTGGCCATTTCTCAGCCACCTACACGTGGGGCGGGGTTTCCCAGCTGCTGCACATTTCCAATCCAGATTGGAGCCGACGTCAGCTTCTGTGTCACTGATAATCTGAAGCCACTCCGGTTGTGCTGGAGGAAAGACCAAAGAAAAAAGGAAAATCAAAGGACGAAGCGACATGAACGACCACAGGACTGCATGGCACAGAGGCAGATCAATCACAGCTGTCGGCCACCTTATTGAAACATGTCAGATTCTTAGGGGGATTGACAGGGTAGATGCGGTGAGTGTGGTTTTTTTATTTGATTTATTATTGTCACACGTACCTAGGCACAGTGAAAAGATTTGTTTCGGATGCAGTACAGGCAGGATTATACCATACAAAGATCGTAGGGTGATAGAACAGAATGAGGAGTACAAAGTTACAGCTGCAAAGAAGGTTCATAAAAAGCAACAACATTAGATTTGAAATTAGAAAGGTCCATTCAGAAGTCTAATAACAGTTCGGAATAAACTGTTCTTCAACCTGTTGGTACGTACGTTTAAGTTTTTGTACCTTCTGTCTGGTGGAAGAGGTTGGAAGAGATTATAAACAGGTGGGAGGGGTCTTTGATGATGTTGGCTGCCTTTCTGAGGCAGCGAGAAGTGTAGTTGGAGTCAACGTGGATGGAGTTTCCCCAGGTTCGAGAGTCTAGGACCAGACGGTATTATTTCTGAGTAAAGGGTTGAACATTTGAGACAGAGGTGAGGAGGAATTCCTTCCCTCAGAGTGTTGTCAACCAGTCTTTACCACAGAGGCTGGGTCATTAAATATATTCAAGGTTGCGAAAAGTTTTTAATGAGTAAGGGAAGCAAGGATTATGGGAAAAAGGCCCGAAAGTGGAGTTAAGGCTTAGCAGACCAGCCACTGAATGGTGAAGCAGACTCGATGTGGGTGAATGGCCTACTTCTGCTCCTACTCCTCTGGCCTTATGGGTGTTTATGCAATTGCGGAACAGGTTTGATTCATTTCTGAGATCAGCTAAGCTGTGGGTCTGGAGTTACATATAGGCCAGACCAGTTGAGGACAGCAGATTTCCTTCCTTTGAGTACAGGATTGAATCAGACAAGTTTTTTTTTTACAACAATCACCATTTGATGAGAATAACTTGCTACTTCAGATGTAATAACTGACCTTAGGGTTTACCTGCTGGCAGTGGGGCTTCCAAGGCTTGTCACAAAGGCATTAGCCTAGACCTCGGATTAATAACTCAGTGTCATTTCCACTACACCACTATCTCCTCATCATTAGGTCATGGGCAACTAACCGGAGGTGAACAGAGAGATGGTACAACTGTACACTGGAAGGTACAGAATAGAGGAGTTACAGTGAGTGGGCTGTGATGCAAAGTGACAAATGCCAGTTGGCATCAGCGGTCAGTTTAAGTTAAAGTGATTGGCTATCTGGCTGACTATCAGACGATCAATATTGTGGAGTTAACTATATGGATTGACAGAACTCGGCAATATTATTGATTTCCTGCTTTATTCCAGGCCTCTGCAGCGGGGAACTGCCAACTTTGGGATCGATAATTCAGACCATGTAGAAGAACCAGTCCTGACTGTGGACAGGGTATTGAAGCTAACGCAGTGTGGAGCTGGATGAACACAGCAGGCCAAGCAGCATCAGAGGAGCAGGAAGGCTGACGTTTCGGGTCTGGACCCTTCTTCAGCTTTCCTGCTCCTCTGATGCTACCTGGCCTGCTGTGTTCCTACAGCTCCACACCATGTTATCTCAGACTCCAGCATCGGCAGTTCCTACTATCTCAGGGTATTGAAGTTGTTTGCAGCTCTTTGTTGAGGTGCCAGAGAATGACATGATTGTGCACATGTGCAACTGTAGTCTACACCATCCAGGACTTGTTTTTGTTTTATTTGAAACATAAACCATTTGTAGTCAGGAAGTCCCATGCTCTCAGATCTTAACTAAGCACCACACAGCACTGCAGGGCAGCCTGAGTCAATGGACTCCTTGTGAGTTTCAACTTGATCTCCAGTGAGAGGTGTGTGACCTCTATTTACTGTCTGCTCACAGTCAAACATAACTGAAGGGATGAGCTGGGTAAAAGGCATTGAAGAGTTTAATCAGCATGGCCATATTAAATGGCAGGTAAGGTTGATGGGCTGAATGGCCTACTCCCATTAAAGCAACAACTCATGGCAACAATGCAGATGGCCTAATATACACATAAGAAATTAAAACAACTTGTTAAGTGATGTACATTCATGAGTAGGGACCTGTTCTCTGCAAAAAGGACAAAAACATTTAAACAACCAAAAAAAGTGCTGGAAATCAGAAACAAAAACAGAAATTTCTGGAATAACCCAGAAAGTCTAGCAGCATCTGTGGAGAGAAAGCAGAGTTAATGTTTCGGGTCCACTGACCCTTCTTCAGAATGAATATGTTTAAACCTTGGAACTTTGTTGAATTACCCAAGAGTTCAGGGGACCTATAGTTTTTTTTTGCTGCTTTCTCCATAGCGACATTTTTGCCAACCAGAGTTGATTTCCCAGCCTATTAGTATGTTTTTCTCTTTAGTATAAATTGTTGTGATTGTTCAAAAATTCACATTCTTTGTATTTGTCCTTGAATAGTCCAAAGAAGGCTTCAGCAACACATCTCTTTTCAGCTAACAGCATGAATGAATGCCAACTAGGACAAACTTGCTGGTCTGATTATTTTTGCTGTAATTCCACCTTCCCAATAACATCGTTAAGCTAAATGTCTCCTCACTATCACTAGTAGGAAGTAATTTTTAAATACGAGACCCACAGAAATAATACTAAAGTTACCAACTGTTTATTTTCAAAAAGAGTTCCCGTGGCTATACTCACTCAGGACTTTGGAAGCAAATGCTTCCTGTGTTTTGGCTTAATATCCCCCTGTGCACATGTCAACCCAGTGGTCATTTTAACACACAGACACGTTACCTGAATATGTTAGCAGTGCAGCACCAGCTCAAATCAAACCTCTCAAGCTTGTGTTGCTTAATTTTGACACTGTACTAGAATGGTTAATAGCTAAGTGTCTACAAGGATGATGGGAAAAGTGGCCAACTTTACAGGGACAGTAGCCTCCCATGCAAGATTGAGCTAGACACTGCTTATCAAATAGGAATCTATTGATAAGGGCTGCCTAAAAGCTGCTCCACCTTCATGGCTATCAAGGTTACTAAACTAAAGACAGAAGAGAGGACAATAAAACAGACACATCTTGTCTGTATGACCCTTTGGTGGATGATCTTAGAGTCACGAGAGTCCTGGGCAGGAGTCGAACTTCCTAGAGTTACAAACAAAAGCATATAAAAATAGTGTTTTGAAGACATCAGCAGTGTAACCTAGGGGCAACCATTGCAGAAGTTCAGAGAAGGAGGACAGACCCAGCTGAATAACTGAAGCCTGGCCAACTCTCCCTCACCAGTGCAGGTGATACCTAAGTCTCAGTAGTGAGTCTGAGGCAGTTTTGTTTGTAACCTGATACAATTTGATGCTGTAGTGTTAAACTGACTGAGTGATAAATAAAGAAATCGATTGCAGTAACAGTACAGGCTGTAGTCGTTGTGTTCACTGGTGTTAACCCAGGAGGGCATTGGACAACACTTGGTTAAAGAAAACAGCTGGTTTACTAAGAAAACATGTCAAAACCATCATCAATATAGCAGGTGTAGGATCCAGCCAAAAGACATACTTTTAAGATGATTAAAATTGGCCAAGCCTCCCCACTACAGAGAGTGGCTCATGTGTGGAATGAACTGCCAGAGGAAGTGATGGATACAGGTTCAGTTACAATGTTTAAAGACATTTGGATAAGTACATGAACAGGAAAGGTCTGAAGGGATATGGGCCAAATGCAAACAGGTGGGACTAGTTTGGTTTGGGAACATAGTCAGTGTGGACTAATTGGACCAAAGGGTCTGTTTCCATGCTGTAAGACTATGTCTCTTATTACTCTGCATACAAAATATCCCATGCTAAACAAAAACTGAAAGAACTGTGAATGCTGTAAATCAAAGTCAAAAATAGAAATTGCTGGGAAAGCTCAGCAGATCCAGCAGCATTTCTTTCCACAGATGTTGCCAGAGCTACTGAGCTTTTCCAGCAATTTCTATTTTTGCCCAATGCTAAACAATGCTTTTGCATGGGAGTTAAAGATGGGCCCTCTGTGTGACCTGATATCCATGGGGCAGGAAGAGATAGATGCTGCATTGCCAAATTGCTGACTTTCATACAGGAAGACAAAGGTTATCAGGGGTCAGCAAGAATGTAGAGTTGAGGCCACATTAAAATCAGCCATGATCTTTTTGAACATCTGCTCCTGTGTGATTGTGTATTTGTAACTAGCTCACAAAAAAAACAACTTAGTCATAGAAGGAGGACATTCAGCCCCTTGAGCTTGTTCTATCATTCAACTGAAGCATGACAGTCAACCCCCTTCATTTCTGAAGTCCACAATGTTCTTGCCCACAGCAAAAATGTCTCATTTGAAATATATTCACATTTATCCCGATGTGTTGCATTTCTGACACTAAAGGATAATGTTCTCATGTGAATGTCTACTAAAGCTTTTTCCCAGAATGGGGGACTCAATTACTAGGGGTCACGATTTCAAGGTGAGAGGGGGAAAGTTGAAGGGAGAAATGCATGGAAAGTTCTTTACACAGAGGGTGGTGGGTGCCTGGAACGCGTTGCCAGTGGAGTGGTAGAGGCGGGCACGATAGCGTCATTTAAGATGTATCTAGACAGATACATGAATGGGCAGGGAGCAGAGGGATACAGATCCTTGGAAAATAGGCGACAGGTTTAGATAGAGGATCTGGATCGGCGCAGGCTTGGAGGGCCGAAGGGCCTGTTCCTGTGCTGTAATTTTCTTTGTTCTTTGTTCTAAAGAGATGAGATTGTAACTCAGTCAAAAACAGCCCATTAGCACAGGGTTAAAATTGTGTCTGAAACGTTTTACTCATGTATAACGAAGTGCAAGACCTAGATTTCTTACCGTGAATGATGATCCGGCCCTGAGTTGAATCTTTTCCTCTTGAGTTTTCTGCCTCACACTCGTACACGCCTTCATCTTCAAACTGTACGTCGGGAATGTGTAGGGTGGGCTTGTTTATGGACTCCAAGATCTTGGAAGGCAGGGACCCGTCGAGCTTCCTCCATTTGATGGTGGGCACAGGGCTGGAAGACACCAAACACTGGCAGTATTAAAGGAAAGAAAAGCTTGGACTTATATCACACCACCACCTCAGGATGAGGTTCCAAAGCACTTTACAGCCAATTGAGTGGTTAATGTTGCAGAAAACCAATTTATCAGCAGTCACACAACGAACAATGTGTAGAGTGACCGAACCATCAGCTTGGGTGGTGGTGGATGAAGGATACTTTTATAGTCAGGACACTAGGGAGAACTCTCCACTCTTTTTAAGAGTTGTGCCATGGGACCTTTAAAATCCAGCTGAGAGGGCAGATGGAGCCTTGGTGCAATGCCTCATTCTGATAGATGGCATCTCTGACAACGCAACACTTCCTCAGCCGTGCCCTGAAGCTTCAGCCTGGTTTATGCATCTCTAATCTCTCGTAACGGATTTTAATTACCAGGGTTGTTTTCTTATTTTCTGCAAACTAGTCAGCCTTTTGAGAAAAAATAGCCTCGGCCACTGCAGTGACAGAATCATCAGCTGCACGGTGGTGTACGTGCTGTGATGGACTTCATCCTTGACCCTATTGGAAGATACCAAAGGCAGGAGCCCGCGACCAGCCACAAGTATTGTCAATGTTGGGATGCAGACAACCCATCGGCCAACCTGTGCACAGCAAGATCCCACCAGCAGCAAGCAAATAAGCAACCAGATGATGAAACAAAGACAGAAATTGCTGGGGAAGCTCACCAGGTCTGGCATCATCTGTGGAGAGAAAGCAGAGTTAACATTTCGGGTCCAGCGACCCTCCTTCAGAACTGGGGGTCATGGCCCATGGGCAGACAGGAGGAGGTGTCTGAGAGCTGGCGCTCAACGTTCACAATGTAGAGGCCAGTACACCAGGCAACAACAGCACCACCTTGTCAGCAGGCTTGATGACAAAGTCAGGGTTGGATCTGAGAGCATGGAGTGCAGTCAGTTCAGAGGGAGATAGGTTTCAATGTGTTGGTTGTGGCGGGGGCGGGGGGGTTGCAGAGAAATTAAGGCCACCAATGTCACATCGACATTTCTCAATGAACAGATCGAGTGCAGGTAAAAGGCCAGAGGGAGGGGTCCAGGTGGAGGGAGTGTTGGAGGCAGGTCAAGGCATCTGTGGGACGGAAAGAGGATTCTTGGTTAAAGAAATGGGCGTGGAGTTGGAGGCAATGGAAGTAGAGCTAGCCATCATGTCGTGCCTGAAATTCATTGAGGTGGGGACGCACAGGGATAAAACTGAGCCCTTTGCTGAGTACAGAATGTTTAGCATCAGAGAGCGGAAGGTCAGAAGGGATAGTAAATTCAAGAGGTGGGGTTACGAGAGAGGATAGAGTCAAAGGGAAGCAGAGGGAGGTTCCAGAGGTGTGTGGGTATCTCTAAGTTGTTGTATCTTGCATTCCTTAATGCCGGAAAGGAAAAGAAAAAGGTTTCTTATTAGAACACTGAGTGAAGAATGAAGTGGAACTGGTGGGCAGGGCGACTCTGAGCCAGCGTGAGGTGGTGTGAATGGAGAGAGAGTTCAAGAGTATGCATATAGTGACACATGGTATTGAATGTGGCTTTCAAGATGCAGTGAGAGCAGCTGTCTGAGGAGCAGTGCACATCACAGATATACCTGGTAATGTTTTTAGTTGTAGTTCAAATGACAGATGACCACAAGAACGTTACCACAAGTACCCACCAGACATGGGTATTATGCTGGACACTATCTGAGGGAAACTTCCAGGCACTTATTCACGCTGATTCAATCAAGATTTGGTTAGATGTCAAAATCCAATGAGGTGTGTTACCCCAAATCTTTGGTGTGGATGGATTCAATCTGGGTGGGCTCCCACTTTTGCTAAAACTGGTGCTCAGGCACTGGTACTTTTGCTGAGACTTGAGATGAGTTGGCCATTGTGCCTCTCACTGAGATTTTCCAGGTTTTGGAGGCATCAGTTCTTAGACTGGGGGAAGCGGTGGTATGGGAGGATGGGAATGTCTCTCCCTATCTCCACCCTCACTGCTCTTGTCCTTCATGTTCAAGGATATTTTGACATTAGGCCGGTTCCTGGTGGAAACCCACTGCCATCCTGAGTGAAACAGAAGGGTGGAATACTTTTGGCCTGGGGCAAATCTCCAGCTGCATGAGACTTACAAGCGAATAATGTAACGTGATGTTAAACTCATTTTGTTATTCTCTTTGATCAATGAACTGCATCAGTTAACCTTCAAAATCAAAACTAATTATGTCTGTAAACAAAGTGGACATGAATTGCCCCAGGGGCTACAGTCCTGCTGTGACTCTGGTACCAGTCCAGCAGAAATATAGAAAGTAGAGCATGAGTAGGCCATTCAGCCCTTCAAGCCTGCTGCATCATTCAATATGATCACGGCTAATTGTCCAAGTCTGTGTCCTTTTGCTGCTTTCTCCCATACTCTTTGATCCTTTTAGCTCCAAGAACTATATCTATCTCCTTCTTGAAAACGTTCAATGTTTTAGCCTCAATCATTTTCTGTGGCAAAGAATTCCACAGGCTCACCGCTTTCTGGATGAAAAATATTACTCCGCATCCCAACCCATATGGTCTACCCATATCCTTAGGCTGTGGCACCCTGGTTCTGGATTCCCTGGTCATCGGAATCATCCTTACTGCATTTACCCTGTCTAGGCCTGCTAGAATTTTAAATATTTCTATGAGATCCCTCTTATTCTTCTAAACTCCGATGAATATAGTCCTAACCGATTTAGTCTCTCTTCATTCATCAAAACTATCTAAAATCAGGAGGAGAGAAGGTTGTCAACTCTGCTCAATGTAATAAAGTAAGAACCTAAGTCGTGGGAGCAGGAGTAGGCCATTCGGTCTTCTGGACTGCTTTCCCATTCAACGAGATCACAGCTGATCTTTTACATCAACTCTAATTCTGTGCCCTATTTCCATAAACCTTGATTCCTTGAGGTTTCATTATTTGATGCCTGCGCTCTCATCACTCATTGTCCCATATACCAATGATCTGATTCTCTCATCATTCACAACCAATTAAAAAGTGAAAAAGACTCTTCATTGCTTGGTTTAATAGAAGGTGGTGAAGTATGGTTGTGTCACCAGACTAGTAATCCAGAATGCGTTATGGGTTTGAATCCACCATGGCAGATGGTTAAAATTTGAATTCAATAAACACATGGAACAAGAAGCTAGTCTAATGGTGACCATGTTTTTTGTAAAAAGCCTGTCTGGATCACCAATATCCTTTAGGGAAGGTCATTTGCCATACATAACTGATCCAGTTTATACGTGACTCCAGACCCACAGTAATGGGTTGGTTTTAACTGCCTTCTGGGCAATTAGGGGTGGGCAACAAGTGATGGTCTTGCTAGTGAGGCCCATGTGCTATGAACTATAAACAAATCAGAACTTTCTTCTTCAACATTATTCTAACTAACAAACAAAAGTTGTTAGAAACAAAAAGAAATGTTATTGTAATATTCTGATGGCGTCTTTATGATCATTGCTCCACAGTAATTCTGGGTTGCCCTTTCCCAATAAGGCGAGTGACATTGATCGGGTGGGGGAGGGAGGGAGGGTTGTGGGAGTTAGGAATAAGGCGGAGAGCGTGGGGAAATGGAGGGAAGCAGGATGTGGTCTTTTTATATTGAGAGTTCTTTGGTTCAGTTGATGGTGATGGTGGGGGAGACAACCAGTAAGGGGGAGAAAGATCCAGGCATGGGGAGGAAGGAATGCAGAAGGCATGATGGGAATGTTGAAATGTTATTCCTTTGCAGCTGGGGCTGATGGGACAGAAGAGCCAGGGAAATCCTCTGTAACCCCAGTTATAGGTGAGGGGATGCTACATCCTCTGCATTCATTGTCATCATATTTGGATCTTCAAAACTGATACATCTTGCAGGTCAGACCTGCTTAATGCATGTGGTTAGTCAGCTCAGTTAACTGGACGGTCAGTGTATGATGCAGGGTGCGGGCTGAATTCCTGCACTGACTGAGGTACTCTCCTTCACAACCTCTCCCCTCACCTGAGGTGTGGTGACCCTCAGATTAAACCACTAGCAGTCATCTTTCTCTCTGGTGAGACAGCAAACCAGCTTCCGGTACCTTGGGGTGATCAGACTGCACCTGTTACAAGTTTGGCATATTTGAATGGGATCAAAACAACACATTTAAACGCTTATATCCACACATGTGGTAGAGGTTTCTGAAGGAGTTAAATGTGATATTATGAATCGCTGTAAAATAATGCAACCATGTTTTTTTTTATTCAGAGATAGTAGGAACTGCTGATGCTGGAGTCTGACATAATAAGGTGTAGAGCTGGATGAACACAGCAGGCCAGGCAGCATCAGAGGAGCAGGAAGGCTGACATTTCGGGTCTGGACCCTTCTTCAGAAAATCTTTTTTTTTTATTCCTCTTTTTGTATCCATGATTTGTACCTATGGACTTGTTCCTAGGATGGCTCCATAAGAGGCGACATTGTACACTTTTCACTGTACTCCTGCACGTCTGGAGAACACATGACAATAAAGGATATTCTATTCTATATTCATTTTTTGCCCATCCATAATTGCCCAGAAGGTAGTTAAGAGTCAACCCTTTACTGTGGGTCTGGAGTCACATGTAGACCAGTTAAGTATGGCAAACCTCCTTCCCTGAAGGATATTCGTGAACCAGATAGGTTTTCACAACAAACAACATGGTCACCATTAGACTAGCTTGTTGGTCCATGTGTTTATCGAATTCAAATTTTAACCATCCGCCACGGTGGATTCAAACCCATATCGCATTCTGGATTACTAATTTGGTGACACAACCATACTTCACCAGCTTCCACTAAATTAAGCAATGAAGAGTCTTTTTCACTTTTTAATTGGTTGTGAATGATGAGATATTAGACCATTGACATATGTGACAACCGATGATGATTAGGGTAAAAATAGTGAGGAAATGTTCCTCTATATTCTATGTCATTAGAGCACCACTTTATAGCGTACATCACTGACCTTTCATCTT